GCTTCACTGAAAGTACTTTTCTTACCCTGTCCTTGCTTTAAACCAAAWCCACTTAAAGGCATAAGCTCATTGTGGTCTGTAATGGATAGAAAACCACTTGCATCATTGGTGTCCTGCCCATTTGAAGCACGGGAGTGTTGGATGAACCTCAAATCATAGCTGTCACCATTAGTATGGAATGAGGTCTGAATTCCTGCAGGTTCTCTTGCCATAGACTCGTCTGAAACAGAAGCACCAGTTGGACCTGCTATGGGCTGGACTCTTTTGGCAATCGTTTTAACTTGGTCTTCTGTCTTTTTCAATTCTTTTCCAATCCCTGAGACTGGCCTTAATGTCATTCCTCCTGCAAACTGCCTCTCGGTTGGGAATTGGACACTAGCATACAAGGTAATATCTTTGAGGGTTCCAACTTTGTCTGCCTTGGTACGGTCAATTACAAGCTTCTTGCATGTTACATTCTTCATAGTCTGAACAAAACAAAAGGATCTGATTAAATCATGGCTCAATACTAGTATAAGAGTGAACACATGGCAAATCTTATGCTAATATGTTTCAATCTATACTGGAGAAGGCACTACTTAGAAATCCAAGAATACGAAATGGTGCTACTGGAGACTAGACAAAGCACTACGTAAGGTTTGGTCTAAGTCATGTCTAAGTCCATCAAAAGTTAAAAAGTTAATACAAACTTCTTTAAACATTTTCTAGCAAACTTACGTTGATCAGATCTGCCACTTGTTCGCCATGTTCTAAATCATTCCCAATTCGAACCCATCTGACAACTTTATGACTGATGTGGGCAAAATGGGAGTCTAGCGCTGACTTTCCTTCCCCAGCTTCAAAGAAGTTGTATTCTCTAAGTATGAAGTTGAAGACCTTGTTGACTTCAGCCAGGTAACAAAGTAGACCAGTATTGTGATAATGGGGCCCGTTATCTGAAGAGAAATATATTTTCAAGATGTAAACAAATATTCTTAATTCATCAAAATTTAAAATTAATTACCAGTGAAAAGATAAACATGAAAGCCAGGGTATGTAGACTCAATCCACTGGAACCCAATGTCGAGAGCACTCTGTGAAAACCAAACATCCTGTTTTGTGTCTTCACTCCATAAGTCTATGACCTCAATTCTCACATCACTTTCTGAAACCTTTCAAGAATAAAGACAATGCAATATTATTATAGCCAAAATTCTCCAAGCAGTGCCATGGTATT